AAGTCACAGTTTCCAACAATCTATTAACAACATTGAAGCCTTAACTTTATTTTGACACACTGACATGGTACACAGTAGGCATTCAATAAATGCAGGTTAAACTAAACTGAAGTCATTTATTTCAGTAACACATTTATAAGTATCAAATACCCACCCAATTACCAAAGAAATTTAGATTTTTTTTACTCACAGGCTGACTTTTCATTACTTCGATAATGTTATTACACAAAAGCATGACACAATCCATTAACCCAATAGGATGAGAGATGTAGCTGACTATCACCCCAAGTATAACAGTTGCTGCTGTTCATACTCGATGCATAATTAGCTAAGAATCGGCACAGAATCTCAATGTATTCTCAGAAAGAAGAAATTTGAAGACCAAAGCCTTTCCCCTCAAATCACTCCTAGAAAGAGGTCCCTAGTTAAGTGTCCAACAAATATAAAGTGCAAAATGCTCCCAACCTCACCACAGGGTAAGAAACATCAAGGATTTATATCCTAAGCCTGTACATCTAGCAGCCTTTATTCCTTGAAGCAAAGCTGTTCTAGATCATCATGGCTCTGCAGGACCTCAATAGGCTCACCAAAGATAAAAGGGAAGAAAAAGATTTCTCACTATTCACAATGGAGAGACAGAAAAAGATTAACTGCTGGGGCAAAACCTCAAAGTCTCCCAAAGCATTTTCTCTCCTCAGCAGAGGTCAAATGCTCATGAATGGCAAACGTCTTAGGTGGCAGGGTTTCCTATCAGATGCCATCAACTTATTAACCATGTGAGAGCTTGCAGCTTCAGGATAACCGAGTCTCCAGCCTGAGCCCCTTCAGCCACATCAGCCAAGTCCAGTGGTGCACCACACTTCTCTGTGTCCATGCCACAGCCTGAATTGTACAATTTCTGGCAGCTCATCAGTGACTGAATTATATCCAGTCACAGCATTATTTCTTTGATCATGTTTTAGAACTATGCTGCTGTTTGAGTGGAACTATTTATCCTCACTATTAAACATAATCTTCTCCATCATAGATGTCATTCCCTTTGTCTCGACATATAGCAAGTAACCCTGCTCTACACTAGGTGCTACACCCACTTGGCTAAATGTTTTGCCTAAGGACATACTGAAACAAGAATATAATTTATACTTCAGTCAAAATTTGTTATCACTTGAAGGCTCCCCTATGAGAAGTGTGAGATAATCACTGGTCAAAAACCTTTTGACAATCCATTCATCATTCCCTGAATACACCTTGCACCTTCCTACCTCTCTACCTTTGCTGGTGTTATCTTCTACACTAGTGCTTCTCAAAGCATGATCCTTGGGCCTGCAGCATCAGTATCGCCTGAACAACTTTTTAGAAATGCATACTCTCTGCAGGCTCTGGACCTACTGAAGCAGAAAATCAAGGGGTATGGTCTAGCAATCAGTGTTTTAACAAGCCCTCCAGGAATTCTGTTGCACAATAAAGCCTGAGAACCATGGTTCTACAGTTAGAATGCCTTCCTCTGAATTTTGTTCACCCGTAACAGGCTAGTTGTAATTCAGGACTATTTTAAAATATCCTTTATGACTTGTTATATCCATCTCTGCCACATACAACCACAAATACTTCACATAACAATATATATTAGTACCTATCACACAGGATTACAGTTACATCATGCAAGATTACAGTGAGTCTGTATGTTTCTTTCCCAGCCAGCTACCTTCCTCCTCATTAGATTGTGAGCTCTTTATTTATATTTTCAGAGCTTGACACATAACAGGTATCGGTAAATGCTGATTGTATGTCAAAATATTAGAGCAGTCTATAAACAATTTGTTTATAAGAAGATGAGACTACCACGAGCAGTGTGAATTCACATGCTTACTTAAAATGTG